TGCTCCTTCCACGACAGGAGTACTCGGGAGTACAAAGATTAAAATGTCATAGGATATGAAATATTATACCAATCAACCGAAAAACTACTTACGAGTTGCTGACAAATAATTTCGGTTTCCTTCTTAAATCACACCAGGATCGTGATGCAATATGCTCACGATAACTGGTGTAAGTCTAGAAAGAAAAACCTGTATATTTGAAAAATAAACTGCTCTACAGCAACGACGTCAACAATTTAAATAAATTAGTGGTTGGTTGCAGCAGTAGAATAAAATCAGAGCAATACTTGACGAATTCGGCAGCAGAAGTCAGAGGAATAAGCGCTCAGTCGAATAATGTAGTGAATAGCAGAGTTGCGGTCTACATGACCATCGGCGCCCCAGCTCTATTCTAGGGGTAGACTCATCCCCCGGGGAGCCAATGGGGTCGGGCTTCTCTGAGCTCTCGCTAAGGTAAGGTCGCAGAGACAAACATCACATGATTACCAAGGGCTGTCGATTCTTCACCTGTTTATAGGAAAATACTTAGCTCCATTGCAACTATCTTGACACAGAACAAAGGCAAAAACCCCATTTGAACACTCGCGCCCTCGGCAAACATTTCCTCTCCCTCTCCTACCCCGGGCGTTATGCATACGGGCCTATGAAACCACCCATCTGCTGTACCCACCTGTGCTATAAAAGGTGGGTGGGAGAGGGGGTGGGGTGACTGGGAGGGGGGAACAGGAAAGCAGCTTCTTCGGAACTCTTCCGCCGGAACACAAGTCTTAGCCGTAAACCTCATGCAGCAAGCCACCAGATACAGATCAGCAACGGCTACAAGCCGCAGCTCGAGCAACTGCTATCAGTCATAGCTTCGGTATAATCCACTCACCACAGCTCAAGCACACCAATTGGTATTCCTCTATTCGTTGGGTTTTCATTTATTGCCGTAAATAATGCTGTGTCCTGAGGAAGTAAAGGTGTCAACATAGTCTTTAGGCCAGTAGCCCCCGGTCGCTGGTCGTGCACCAGTGTATTTGAACAAACATGAAGTACGTGTGTCGAAGCTGATGTGAATGCTGACCTATGACAACCTTCGAGTTGGCAAAGCACAGCTGCTTTACTCATTTTAATCTTTATTTAATTTTTAATTGCTTGGCAGGGACAGTGCATGGCCCATAAATGAGGTTCGTGAAGTCCTGTGAAAGGCACAGTTTACGATCATTTTGAGGTACCCTTTTTTTAACCAAAATACGGAAGTATAGGTTGAGAATAGTCAACGGTTATGAAGAAAGCGAGAGAATTCACCGTTTTACGAAAAAATATGGTTCCTTAAAAACGGGGGATAAGATGTCGGACGAGATCACCATGACGGAGATAACTTGGAAGGGGTATTCAGACGAGATTACAGTCGTTACAATTGCGCGATGAGCTGACTACATCGAGCCTGAATTGTACAGAACTGCCTTTCAGTGTTGTTGTGAGTCGTGACGAGTTGTATGAACTTTCTACATGGATTCCCTTGTGATCGCTGCAGCCTTTACAGTGCCGGTGAAACTCGTCCGAGAATACACACGGTACAATCTTTGAGCCCTTATAGCGCCCTAACTAGGCCATCTTCCGATCTAACAGCACCAGATATGGTATACGAGGGCATCGAATCCATTCTAAGGAAAATCTTAGAAACCATTTTCATAAACTAAAAAAAACGTAAACTAAACGTAAACTATGCCTCTAACCTCGCTAGACAGGAACAGGTCCCCCATTCTTCTAGGATCGTAGAAATAGGCAAGTCTGCACTTGCTTAGTTGTTGTATGAGCCATGTAAATACTAATATGGGAACCATTGCAATAATGAGTGGAAGTCTAACTTTGCATGCAGGCATGCATGAAAAAAGGTTCGATCGCAGAAATCTCCTCAACCTTATTTCTTTCTGTTTAGTACCTGTTTCATCTGTTTTGCCTTTGATCATCGACTTGCTCAAGTGCCATCTAGTAACGTCTTCAGTATAACCGCAAGCAAGTACTTTTTTATGGATGAACCATCCATTCCCAGTCTTTCTACTCGTCAAGCAGTGCCGTACGTGATTTCATCGAAATCGTTCCAGGAATCTTATCACCGTCACTCCAAAAATGGAATGGGTTTGGTGGACCAGCAATTCGGTGAACATCATCGTGAACTTTATTGGAACCGTAGGCAACTCCGTTTTAATATATATGATACTGAAAAAGACTCCGGCACCTATGATCTCCTATTCTGTTCTCCTTTTCAACAATGCAATCTGCGATCTGCTGATCTGTATTACTACCGTGTTGGCACTCCAAAGGTATGAGTCGCACTCTACTTTTTCATGCTCAGGATCTCCAACAAAATTGATCTACGCTAATCAAGGTTAAGATCCAATTTGAGGCATAATTTTTTCTTCTTCATTCTTCGGCTGAATGGAACAAAGCAAGGGCTAGTCCTATGAAGTTAAGTACAAATAAGTACAGAGCGACCTGAAAGGCTCTTTCTACAACCACAGACCATATCCGACCATATTTGGATATGATCTGTCGTTATAGTAGGAGCCTCTCAAGTTATTTCTGTACTTCCCTTTCTCAGGAAATCAGTTGATGAGCAGTACTATAATACTTACAAATTCAAACGAATAGCAGCACTAGCGTTGCTGCACAAGAAGTTCAAGATGCTCCCAGGATTCTAAGTTCAAGTTCATTTTCTAGTAGTCAAGTTCATTTTCTTGTAGGCACAGTTCGCGATAATTTTACTTTCCGTGTTCAAGTTGAAGAAAGATGTATTGATGCAAAATAGGGGTAAGTGGCACTACGTGCGCCCGAGGATGCGCGTGACAAATTGCACGGCGAAGTTCGTAACGATTGAACGACTTTAGCATCCATCTTTGGGGCCCGAATTTGGGGTAAAGCAGATTAGAAGGATCATCTGACCCTACTAAACTACTCTACTTCGAGTTTGTGCCCCGAAGCTTGGCGTCAGAGTCGTACAAATCGTCACGAACTTCGCCGCGCGCGTTCTTACACACGTAATGCGCGTCCCCCGCAAAATAGTGATGGAGGAAGCGAGAAATTACTAGCATTATACTGTTAGGACGATTGGACGACATTTAAGTCGCTCTAGGGCAGCACGAGCATTTGCGAGGGAATTGTTCATTGAATTCTTGCTGAATTGCTCTCCACAACTGTCAAAATTTAGAATTGCATTCAATCATAATATGATTGTGCTGCACTGACTACTTCATTATCATTCTCTGCCGCTCACTGTGAATTCTCCATAGCTCATACTACGGAAACGGCCACAGGAGAGTAACCTCCTTGGTTTACGGGTCCTGCCACCGACGCTACCGCTTTGAGAGATCTTTTTGCACCCCAGTTGAGCCGCTTCCTTAGCAACGCCCCTTTGCATCCTGAAAGGCCTTGAATCCGTTTTAGTAGGATCTCTCGCCTCCAACTTGAGTGAACTCTGAGCTAAGGCTAGCAAGAGTCAGCGAAAGCTTGTTTCATAATACGAAACTGATCAATTTTGAGCATATCATGCTCTTTTGGTAAATTTTCTGATGCTCGGTTTGCTTTTAGAACTATATATTACCGATCCAGCCATTACAATATATACTCCGGCCCGTGTAAGTACTTCCATGTAGAGGTCTGCTCGTTTATGTAAGTGATTTGATTTCTGATCCAACAATCATATTCAGAATCTCTTTGAATTCTTATAAAATTATTTACAGGCAGAGCTTCACATTTACTTCTCACTTTCATGGTATTCACAGTTTACTGGTTTCGTTTGCTTATCGTTACTACGTATTGAAACACAATGCACCGCAAACATACAAAGTGGTAGTCACCATAATTTTGGTATATTTGCCGACGTTCTTCGTGTTTGTGAGTTTTGAAAAAAAAAATTGGGAGAAATTTATACGTTTGGACATAACACATGAAGGTAGCTGGTGAGGAAAGCAGCGCCTTCGTGAATATTATGCAATTCCAAAATGCATTCCCATTCTCGGTGCTGATGCTTGTCGTCAGAAGCTCGACTTTGTTGTTTCTCTAAATTAAAAGTTAGGATATTATTTGCCTTCAATTCAAAAAAATGTAGTTTTCATTGAATTAATAAAAGAATTACCGAAAGCACTGAAAAGTACTTAAAATAATATATGTCAAAAAATTTGCCCTCGGAAACACTTCACCAGTTTCTAGTTAGTTGCATGAGATATTTTTCTTCCAATATAAATGGTTACTGAAGTGGAACTCCCAATATCATCTAGCTGGCCGAGACTCATTCCATGCCACTTGCAATCTTTAGCATTCGAGAGGGGAAGGATATTGTGAAATTCCTTGGGGTTCCTATAATATCAAAACAGAAGACCCTAAAGATACAAAAAAGAAGATTTAATCAAAGCGAACCAGAAAAAGGTTGAACGGTCGCTGTTTCTCAAAGGAGAACTATTGAATTGGCCCGTTTCCCGATCTCGATCGTGGTTCTGACCCATCAAAACGACGGTTAAGCAGCAGGTCCTACCGGGGTCGTCGGTGGGGCGGATTATCAGGCAGAAGCTTCATTGCGATTACAACCTTGTGCAGAAACTCCGTTTCCAAGTTCAACAGACACTGTGGGGTCATAAAATGCAGAAAGTTGCTAACTCGTTTGAGTCTGGACACGTAACCTTTTATCGTTTCCTCTAGCTGAAGATTTTTGGCGATAAATCCATACCTCAAAAGGGATGACGTTCAAGCTGTAAACCTCGAACGTGCAATCTTCCACACAAACGTGGCCATAGTTTCAGCAGAATGATGTTAATTGAAGGATTCACTGGGAAGGGTCAGACGAGGTCGGTTCAGTCGGAAGCGGCGTAAAAACTAAGAAAGACGTCTGTTTAGAAAGTGTACTCATAGACGCACTGAAGTGCTGATCCGACTCCGCTCCCTGGAACAGCTCTTAACCCCTTCAGCAGGACGGTACCTCATCCCACAAAGCCTAGCTCCCTCGGTAGTGATGTCGACGTTAGCTGTCCGACATTATTAGCAAAGAAGAATGGCCATCCTGTTTTCCAGAACTTAACTCACTTGAGTCCTATGCTCTCTGAAATAGAAGAGGACTTGTCGGATTTGCAATTCCATTTTGAGTCTTGGATAGCTGGGCTCAAGAATGGTGTGTAGAAATGGGGAGGGATACCTGCGCGCAACATGCGAGTGCGAGGAGTTCGAGAGCAAACTTTGGACCCCTGTCCTTGCTCATAGGAGATATTGTGGAATATTATTGTGGCATATTGTAGCACATCATGTTAAGGAATGTGGCACAGATTCAACTGTGACTGGAATATTGGACAAGCCAAACAAACACCACGATATCGGCCAGTCTAACGATAATAGTTTACGGCAAAAATATCCATCAACGAAGCGCCATGCTCCTCAAGATAAGCGTCTACAGTTGGCTTCCATACCGAGTAGTCAGCAAACTTTGTTCTACGAAATTTCCTCCCACAAAAAAAAAGACCAAAACAAATTTTAGCAAGTTTTCTTTTAGAAATTGAATAGACCAACTTTTCTCTCCTTCTTGACTTTCGACAAAACCTTTGAATTCTACAGTTGCATTTGCAGGTAGTCTCTGCTTTGTCCAGTGAGGATCAGGCTCAAATGAAAGCAGAAATCGGAAAGAACCTTGGCTACGATATAAGCTCGGATACCGTTTCCAGTCCTCTCACAAACAGTTGGGGGGAGATTCTGATCTCGTGCTACATGGCGCTGCCACCCCTTCCAGTTTACATCGGTATCCTCATCCTTAGGAGACTCATCATATCAATGATATCCGCCCAAAGAGCCATGTCCGAACGTAGTCGGCAACTCCACAAGCAATTACTCCGAGTAAGTGTTTAGCTTCAGGTTCTCATATTTTCTAAGGGGATAAAAACGGCTATGATTGTTAATAGGTTGTTTTGAAAATTGAACTCTTTGGAGTCTGGATGGATATGAGATTGATAAGGAACTCTATCGATATCAGGCGATTCTACGCAGATCTTCAAGACCACCTAACTTATCACACATCGATTGTTAGACAAATACCTCCTACTTCAGTCATTAGACAGCAGAATAAGCAGCAGCCCAACTAGACCAAATGATATTCGAAGGCCAGAGTCGTCCAGCAAATGACTTGCCGCCAACCTGTTTCGAGAATTCAAAATTATCCCTAACAATGATTCATAGAGTGACGAGCCAGGTGATCTAGAAGGTCTCAGAAGGTTTGTGTGATAACTGATGGAATACTACGGAATTCTATCATTTCCCCTTTGGGCCGCCTCCGAAAATTCTGAGATGACAGGTGAGCAATAGGCTTGTAACAACATAGTGTGCAAACAAAAGGTAAGAGACCCTTCCAAAAAATGGCAAGGATATTTTGAGGGTATGTCGTTTTTTCTGTTTGTAACTACATTTTTTGTGTCATCAGAGGTGAAGCAGTGCAATCTTGACTGCCACGATTCCTGATTCAAACGAATAAATGACAGAGAGTTGGGTATTTTGTAAAATCCAGCCGAATACAGTGCACGCCAAACGCAGACAACTGTTCTCAGCCCATACTGTTGTGAAGGTATGCAGGCATAATGTTGCTGTTCAGCATGTGCAGAACACTACAACGTGGGTTAGGCATGTATCTCCATCGAATTGCCTACCGAGAAAATCTGTCGTAATCAATTCAACTCCTACTAACCCATGATCACAAACAAGCGCCTCCGCATGTCTTCTGCTTGCCACAGAGCCACTAGTCCACTCAAAGCCCAGCTCTTATCAAAGCAAACATTTTTCTTGATTGAGTGAGGCATAAGGCTCCCATTTGCTACTACACCTTCTCCACAATGCACTATAACATGTGCATGGTCAGGGGGTTCGAATCCTGGATCGGTGTCCGCCTATGCCAACCAGGCTTTCCATCGCTCCGGGGTCGTCCAATCGGTAACAGATTTGTCGGGGAGGACGGAAGCAGACTTATACATTGGCTAGCAACTGCACGTCAGTTTATGAATGGGCCATATACGTAATCAGAACATTTCTCTATTGTGAGCTTAGTTGGAAAAGAAAGAGTTTTTACTCATGAAGATTCCTTCCTTTCAAGTAACATGAGGAAAGCAATGTAGTTACAGCTGCTGTTTACTTTTTACGTTTACATTTACATCGCTGTTCTATTCACTACATGTTCCCCCAAAGAAAACTTCCACAACTCAGACTGAAAATTGTAGTCAGTAATACTTGAAATTATATCTCCATAATTTATGAACACATAAGACCACCGAACTGCTGAAAAAAATATTGTGGGAAAAGAAGCCCTCACTTTCATGTGGTGTGCATCTTGTTATTCTTGTTGTTGATATTATTAATGTTTGATGCGTTAAAAAATATGAATAAGTTGCAAATACTATGTTATCGAACTTCCCTGTAAACCTCATTTTAAGGCACTCGCCGTTCAAGCCTGCTTGCCCTTGCTCTACTTGGGCGGCATAGTCGTCACTATAATCAGTTCCGTGAAGATCTACTATCATCCTCTTATGGATTACTCCTTCATCTATGTGTTTGCTCCTATTCCAGCAATAAACCCCCTGGTGACGCTATATTTCGTTGGTCCTTATCGTATATGGATAAGAGAAAAGTTTCTGATGTTAAACAAAATAATTGCAAAAGATACTGCAGTAACTTCCGTCGT